GTGCCATCGATATGGACGCTCTTGTTCCTTCCGTTGTCCAAAAGTCACATTCTATCTTTCAACAATACTATAGAGCTCTACTGAGCTGGCATGTCAAAAAAAAAAAAAAAAAATTTAAAGTTAAAACATCACATCAAATTAGACACCACACAATTTCATGTCATTAGTGCATAGTTTAGAGCTCTCATCCTAGAGCTCTCAAGCATTTTTCTTCTATCTTTTTATCATTTAAAAAGTTTATATTTTTTTTTCTTGGTTAGAGTGTCAAATGATGAATTATTGTTTGGTTTGAAATTTTTTTAAATAATTTTTTTTTAGTTTTAAATTTATATATATTTATTTTTGATGAATTTTTAATTATTTTTTTAATTTTTATATCTATTTAATTTAAATATATTTAAAAAATATAAAATTTATGTAAAAATCTTTTAAAATTTTCATTAAATACAATATATATATATTTTTATATTTTGTTGTATGAAAAAAAAACAAAGATTTGAATTTTTAATTTTTAGTAACTTTTTTACTCTATTGTCAAATGGCTCTAGAATTAGTTTCTCTTTTTTTTTTCTTTTTTTTTTTTTGGGTTAATAAAACTTTTAGTTGAAACAAATTCACAATATATTGTTGAGGTGAGCAAAGGATGTTGAAATGGACGAGTGATTTTATGATGCAAACCAAGCATCATCGTCGTCCACTAGCAACTTGTGTGGTTAATTCCTCAATCAGAGACTTCGATCAATCAAAGTGTGTCATCTTCTACCAGATGTTATAGCTTCTCAATGCTACACCTTACCTTACTTGCCTTCCGCTAAAAAAAAACCAAAAACATAAAAACGAAACATAAAACAAAACAAAACAAAATAAAATAAAATGTGATTTTTATGTCCAAAGGTTGTGTGGTTGATCGTGAACCCAGCAATCTGGTACCTTCGATAATATCCAGATCTGATGCAGACAATGATGAATTATGATCAGAGTTATATAAATTAAGTTGAGCTATTTATCAATAGTTTCGAGTTTGAATTAAAATTTAAAACTTATTTAATAAACTAGTAGAGCTTCTTCTTCTTATTTTTTCCCTCAATGCGTAGTCATTTGGAATGTTCTAAATAAATGCATTTTTTGACTTTTTATAAAATATGGATTGTGTTTAAAGTGATGTGGTAAAGAGGTGATGCGATTTAAATAGAATGATATGACTTAAATAAAATAGTAATTTTTTAACTATTTAACTTTTTCAAGAGATGCCAAATAAAACCTTAATTTAGATTTATTTTTTTTCTTTTCGAAGCTCAACTAATTTATTAATTGAGTTGATTCAAATTGAGTTTAAAATGTCTCAAACACTCGACACACTTTTATCCAGGCATCTATGCTCGCGTATACTCGCACAAAGTTGATGGGATGCCACTTTCTCTTTATTATTAGGATTAGGCTCGTGTTCAGTCTGTAATCACTGTATTGTTGGGCTTTGTGGGTTCACACGTACAGAGTCCATATCAATAATTCGAACTATTCAATATGTAAAACTCATCAAGTACTTTATCCGTACAAAAAATTACGATTATCGGATATCAATAGTCATTTGATAAGATCATATTTTTGTTAATGTTCAATATGATTTTAAAAAAAATTGTTAACAGAAATGTGATCTGATTAAGTAGCAATTGATATTTGATCAATGTGATTTTTTACAAAAATAAAGTACTCGATGAACTCTACACATTAACGGTTCAAATTATCAATGTGAGCTCCTTTGTGAGCCCATAAAAATCCAACAGTACGATCCAATTCGAAACTAGACTGAAGACAAGCCTTTCCCTTATTATTATTATTATTATTTATTTTTTTGGGGTTTAAAAAAATGTGAATAAGTACATTAAAATCTCCCAATTATTTTGGAGGCATATGTCTAGTGGTGGGTGGTGGTGATGATCGGCATTATTATTAATATTATTATTATTATTATTTAGGTAGAGAGGAAATAAAGGATGGGTTGGGTTTTGGTGTAGTTGTTGGTGGGGTGGAGTCGAAGTCGGCGAATGGGTCATTTTAATAATATTGGATGCAGAACGTGGACTTACTTGAGATATGGAAATCAATGAAAAAAAATTAATTATAATATTAAAAAAATGTACAAATAAAAAATATTATAAATTTATTTACAAATCAATATATGTAGATTATTACATGATATGTCACTTAAGGAAAACTAATTTATAAGATACATATAATATTTTCTTATGAAAGATATATATTGATACGGTGGAACTATTTTAATTGAGAATTTATAATTTTTCAAATTAAACCAAAAAATTATGATGTTGTCATGTCATCCTCGCAGGGTGTTATCTTATTTTGATTTATTTATAGTGCAAAATATTATGAAATATCATGTCATATTGTTTAAAAGAGATAATATTGACCTAATTATTTTAATTGACTTTTTAATTTTTTATAAAAAACGTGTAAAAAAATAAAGAGAAGAGTTAATTTTTTTGTAATGATTTTTAATTTTTAACTATATTAAGTGATTATCAAAATATCCCTAAGTAGTTAAAAGACATAATATGACCTATTCAGGCTATGTTTGGTTTTGACTAAAAAAGCACTTATTGGCTATGAAACAACCCAAAAAATATCTTCTTTTTTTTGGGCTAAGAAGCTAAAATTATATAATTAAAAAAATAAAAGAAAGGGAGAAAACTAAGGACTCAATTTTTTCATTAATAAAAAAAATCTTTTCAGCATTTAAAAAACACATCAGTTTTTCTAACAATTTTGTCCTAAAAATCAATTGTCAAACTAGTTCTTAGTTAAAAAAAAGAAAAAAAAGAAAACCAAAAAAAGAGGAATGTTTTTTTGTGTTCTGTAATTTCTCATTTTAAAAATACAACATAAATAACAATGTCATATGGTATTTAAAAATTACCTAATAATTTTGAGTAATGTCACATTTACTAAAATTCTTACTAAAACACGCTTTGAACCATCATTGGATGTTCATTGGATGTCTTGGTTGTGTTTTTCCAAAAATACTTTTCAGAAAATTTTACTTTCTTGTTTTTTGTATTTTTTTTATTTTTATTAAATTTTTTTAATATTTTAAGCAATTTTTTTTTTTACTTTTTAGACATACCCAACATAAATATACCTAAAAGTAAAAAATTTGTGAAAAAAATCTTTTAAAAATTCACTAAATACCAAAAATATAAAAAAAAAATACGAGAATTCAGTATATATTTTGTATTTTTATATATTTATTAAATTTTTAAAATATTTTTTCACAAATTTTTTACTTTTTAGATACATCTAAGTAAAGTGCATCTAAAAAGGGAAAAAAAAATTTAAAAATTTTAAAAATATTTACTAAAAACAAAAAAACATGAAAACCAAAAAACTGAGTTTTCAAAAAACTTAATCCAAAAAACTCAAACCAAACACACTGAATAATTTTTTAATAGCCAATCATATTTAGCCTCTTATTCTGTTAGTAAGAGTGTTAATGTCAATAGAATTATTTAATAATTTTCCTTTTTGAGTCATAAGCTTAGCCAAATTTACTAAAATCCAAAAGAAAGAACTACAAGCAACTTACAAATGTGGTGTCTTCTAGTGATATCTTTGGGTTTGGGTATGATATTTACGGCCCTTTTGAGAGGAAAGAACTAGAAGACAAATATGATACATGATGTAACGCATTGTGTTGATATTTTGGGTTTCGGAATATCTTGATTGTATATATGCAATAGACATAACCCCAAAGGAAAGAAAGAACTAGAAGACAAATACAATGTAAGGCAATTTGGTGCTATTTTGAGTTGGGATATTGTATGGTGGAAGAAAGAACAAAAAATGGTGTATCTTGATTATAAGCACAATGAACATAACCGCTTGGTAGGTGATGATTGAAACATATTTGTCCATTGTGTTCTTATTTTTATCTATTTGACAAAATTCCATTTACTCGTGTCTGGATCATTTACACTTCAACTCTTGTACTTCAATAATCAGCAAAGAATTTTGTTTGTAATTTTGAGTTAAAAAGCAATGTAAACATCCATCCTTAATTTCAAACATTAAATGACCAACTACTCTTCTGCTTTGTCTTGGTTGTATGCTCGCTCTCCTCTGTTAGCACTCTTTCTTTACTAAATTTTCACCTAATTTCAGACTTAACTACTTTGTAATCAACTCATTTTTTATAATAGGTCATCTTGAACCTCAAACCTTATTGTGTCTATGACTACTACTGCCATTCCTAAGTGAATCGATAAACAAAAATGTCTAGCTACAAGTGACATTCCAACACTCATGGGCCATCTATGAGTATACTACATGTCTCGTGTTGAATTCTGAACCAGCTTTATTGTTTGTGCAATGTTAAACTCCCTCGTTTTTTATACCTTGTAAAAAACTAGTACATTCAACTCCAAATCTCAACTATGTGGTGCTCCTCCCACCCTTCGAATCTAAAATGAAGGGAGGTACAACCATCAAGTGATTTCTCTATCTGAAAGTGATTCTACAAGAGAGTATCAGTAGTGTTACTCTAATGCTCCAAAGAGTGTAACCTATAGACTTAAATTTGCCACTCCAATATTGACAATAAAAATGTAACATGACAAACAAATCAGTCAACTAGGGGTGAAGTTCATTACTCAATTAGGAGTGAAAGCAAATTAAGCCAGGAATAGTCGGTTAGTTTTCCTAACAAGCCTCATTTGGAGAGTCTGGTTTCCTAACAAGCCTCAATTTGGAGAGCATGGTTTGCTACTTCATTCCTAAAAACCATTTGGAGAGTCTGGTTTGCAAAACATCCTACCAACAATGTACTTGATATCCATTGAATGAAGAGGCAATTTGATTGGGTAATCACCACTAACTATACAACTGAAACTAAAAATGTAAAATAGGAAGAGAAATTGCAACCTCAACAACACTAAAATTCTTCTTATATCTATTTGCCTAGTCATATCACAATAATTTACATCATAAAAACAACTTAAAAATGAATTATATAGCCAAGAAAATATATGAGAACCAAAGATAAGATCAATTCTAGTGCAAATAAAGATATTTAAATCCTTTAGTCAATTGTACATCCAAATTCATCAAAAACATAGCAAATAGGATGATTGTGATCAGAGAAATGACCTACTTCTTAGATATCTTCTTCTTCGAACTAGAATCAACTATCTGCATCTTCGAATGCTTTTCAGCTTCACTCGGATCAAGCCACTTGAGAGGGTTGCGATTGAAGAAAGGCCAATTGGGAACAGTGATCAAAGTAGTGATAACTACACCAGAGGCGTATATTAGCAACATTGTTTGAAACGACCCCAAGGCATAGCCCATTGTGATAGCCATCACTGCAAAAACCACCAGCAGAATCTGCATCAAGTGCTCAACTAGCTTCTGCCCTTGCCAATCCATCTAGAATAAAAACAGATCGGTTTATATTACAAATCGAAATCGAGTTTAGGAATTAAAACTTTGAATCGTTGTCAATACATACAAATACAGAATCGATCGATAAAGAAATGGCTGAAATTGAACGATCGGGAAACCCTAGAATTCAATCTGTCGATCGGAGCATAAAAACCCAAAACGGGAAAACATTGTGACCTTATAATTATTTAAAAATAAATAAATAAATAAATTATAATTTTTAAATTATAATTAAAAAAATGCAGGAGAATCCGTATAGGTGTTCGAGTGTTCGAACCGTAATTGCGCAAAAAATCTGGGTTGAATTCAGAGAAAATTCAAATTTCTCTGGATCACTTTCTCTGGGTTGAATTCAGAGAAAATTCAAATTTCTCTGGATCACTTTCTCTGGGTTGAATTCAGAGAAAATTCAAATTTCTCTGGATCACTTTCTCTGGGTTGAATTCAGAGAAAATTCAAATTTCTCTGGATCACTTTCTCTGGGTTGAATTCAGAGAAAATTCAAATTTCTCTGGATCACTTTCTCTGGGTTGAATTCAGAGAAAATTCAAATTTCTCTGGATCACTTTCTCTGGGTTGAATTCAGAGAAAATTCAAATTTCTCTGGATCACTTTCTCTGGGTTGAATTCAGAGAAAATTCAAATTTCTCTGGATCACTTTCTCTGGGTTGAATTCAGAGAAAATTCAAATTTCTCTGGATCACTTTCTCTGGGTTGAATTCAGAGAAAATTCAAATTTCTCTGGATCACTTTCTCTGGGTTGAATTCAGAGAAAATTCAAATTTCTCTGGATCACTTTCTCTGGGTTGAATTCAGAGAAAATTCAAATTTCTCTGGATCACTTTCTCTGGGTTGAATTCAGAGAAAATTCAAATTTCTCTGGATCACTTTCTCTGGGTTGAATTCAGAGAAAATTCAAATTTCTCTGGATCACTTTCTCTGGGTTGAATTCAGAGAAAATTCAAATTTCTCTGGATCACTTTCTCTGGGTTGAATTCAGAGAAAATTCAAATTTCTCTGGATCACTTTCTCTGGGTTGAATTCAGAGAAAATTCAAATTTCTCTGGATCACTTTCTCTGGGTTGAATTCAGAGAAAATTCAAATTTCTCTGGATCACTTTCTCTGGGTTGAATTCAGAGAAAATTCAAATTTCTCTGGATCACTTTCTCTGGGTTGAATTCAGAGAAAATTCAAATTTCTCTGGATCACTTTCTCTGGGTTGAATTCAGAGAAAATTCAAATTTCTCTGGATCACTTTCTCTGGGTTGAATTTCTCTGGGTTGAATCCAGAGAAATTCTTTGGAAGTCCAGAATTTCTTTGCTTCCAACTGATGATGGGTTGCTTTCCTTCCAACTGTCAAAATTGAACTGCTTTTTGTGCATTTGGGGCTTCTTATTGAAGCTTCTTGTGTTCTTGTTTTTGTAAATTTCTCTGGCTTGTTACATTTGTGTTTCTTTATTGTGTAATTTTATCTGGCATGTTTATGTTTCTTCATTATTTTCTCAAGCAAATTATCTGTGGCTTACTACTCTATTGGTGTGGCTAATTTTCTCTGGCATTTATAATTTTCTTTGGCCAAATTACTTTTCTTACTTATGTGTCTAATTTTCTCTGGCAACATTTATAATTTTCTCTGGCCACATTATATTTATGTCTTGTGTCTAATTTTCTCTGGCATATTTATTTTGTTCAATGCTCCATTTCCTCAAAATTTCTCTGTTGTGTAATTTTCTCTGTCATGTTTATGTTGCTACCTTGTAATTTTCTCTATTGTGTAATCATTGCTACCTTGTAATTTTCTCTGGGATTTAATGTTTATGTTTTCATTCTATAGAAATGGCAAAGCGCAGAAGCAGCGCAACCCCAGAAACCCCGAAAAAGAAACCAAAAGTCTCTGTGTCTGCGTCTTATGATCTTAGATCAAAACGCAGTAACAGCACCAGAACACCACAAAAAAAACAAGTTCAAGTTGAAGAAGCAATAAGCATCAAGATCAAGACACCAACTTCAAGGGTGATTTTCACTCAACTACAAGCTTAACATTTTCTCTGTCATTTCCATTGGATTATAATAACAAACCTACGATTTTCTCTATACTACAAAGAAAAGTCCAGAAACATGAATAGTGCAACAAAAAAAAAATGAAAAGTGCAAAGAAAACATATCAGAAAACTTTGAAAAGTGCAAACATATAAAAACACAACATATAAGTCCAGAGAAATTTGTAATACTTATCATTTGTAATACAATCATATGATTTTCTCTGGACTACAAAGAAAAGTCCAGAGAAATTTGTGAACTTATATTCACTTTCAATATAACAAAAACAAAAACACATTAACATCAAGAGACAAAAATATATTAAACACAAGCACATAAAAAAATCATAGAGAAGATCTGTTATGTTCACAAAACATTCAATTCAAAAAATTAAAAAAAAAAAACAAAACATTTACTACTCTATTGCTACGTCTGTAAATTTCTTTGCCTACTTACAATTTTCTCTGTGATTTGAGTTCAATTATAGTAACAAACCTGCAATTTTCTCTGCACTACACAAAAAATGCAAAGTGAACAAAAAACAGAGCACAAAAACGCAGAAAAACAGAGCACCAAAAATCAACTCATAACCATGTTGACAGAGAATGAAAAAGCAACTCGAAAAATCAAAATCAACTCCATCGAAAATTCATCAATAACAGATAATGAAAAATTAATTTCAAAAATCAAAAACAACAACACTGAGTTCGTCTCTCTCACATTGATCAAAACTAAAAACAAAAACCTAATTCAACACCTACACGATCAAATCAAATCAAAAATTGAAAACTTATCTAATTCAACTCCACATGAAATCAAACCAAACACAATGAACCAGATTTCAACTCCTACACGATCGATCAACACCTACAAACAACGAACACGATTTCAACTCGCACAGGATTTCAACACCTACAAACAACGAACAGGATTTCAACACCTACAAAAACCCTAGAAAATCTCCACAAAAATCTGAATCGTTAAGTTCATCCTCACGTAATCTCCCACAAAATATCAATATGATCTTTAGCTGCCAAATTCAAAACAACGTATATTATAAACAAGGGTAAGATAGGTATTTTACACTCTAAAATAACATTGAGGCACCTTAGGCTACAAAAGAACACATTGTGGACCTAATCCATTACTAAAAGTTGGATAGGGACCTTAAACCGATTTTCCCTTAAACATACATATGCTTTTTTAAAAAAAAAAAAAAATTGTATATTAAAATTTTCCAAAACGAAATTAGAAGGGAGAAGGAGAGGGAGAGAGAGAGACTTGCCAAGTTCATTGATGGATACTAGGATTGTAAATTTGGCCCAATCCGGCCCAGATCATGTCAGGCCTCGTGGGGTTCTGTCAAAATTTGGGCCAAGCCAGTCCACAGGTCAGAAAACTAAGCCCAGGCCGAGGGATATTCGGACCTTGGGCGAGCCAGTGAACCTTGGCCTAGGCTCGGGCTTGGGCGAGTTTGATTTTTTTTATATTTCTTCTATTAAAATTTTATTATTTTTTACTAAAAAAGACACTGGGCCTTGAGGCGCGCCTTAAGTGGGTTGGTAGGTCAAGCCCGGACAAGTTTCAAAATGATGGCCTAGGTCCAGGGCCAGAGTCTCGGGCTGGGCTCGAGCCCAGGTCTAAACGAACAGGGGCAGGTTTCGAGCCGCCCACGAGTCGCGAGTCATTTTTACACTCTTCCATGACCACATTTGAAAAAAGAAAAAGTGCAAACCATCAAATTTTTAAGTATTTTTAAGGATAATTTACAATTTGCCTCTATTACATTTGATTATTTTCTTACTGTGATTTTAAATTGTTTTTTTTTTTTCACTTTGATTCTTAATGTTTTAAATTTTTTTGAATTTACTCTATAAATTCATTTATATTCAAAATTAGACAGAAAATAAAATAAAAAAAAATTTATTATATATAATTTATACATCTGACACAAATCTCAATATAATAATATATTTTTTATATTATATGCCAATTAATGTGATTTATTTTTAATCTAATTTTGAATACTAAAAGTTAACTTTAAAAGTAAATTGAGAAAAATTTTAAATATAAAATGTCAAAGAAAAAAATAAAAAATAATTAAGGACCAATGTAAAAAATAACTAAATATAAAGAGACAAAGTGTAATTTATCTTTTATTTGATGATTAAGTATATTTTATAGAGATTCAATGGTAATTATATTTTTGATATTTTTATATTGTAGCATAATTAAAATTTGAAAATGGTATCATTTAACATTGAAGATGTATGACCATGTTAATCTTAATCATTACTTGGGATTCTTGGTTTCACTCCTTTTGTCTCATCTTGCCTCTACCATAAGATCTAATGGAGTATTATATTTAAAAAAAAAAAAATTGTTTGAATTATCGTGAACATTTAAAAAAAACACAAAAAAAAGAAAAGAAAAGATATTTGGACAAGTTATTATTTGCACAAATTGAAATTTACCTTGATGTTGAAATATCTATTACTATCTTGCGTCATTAATACATCTTGGCCTCTAACTTCCTTCTCTAAACTGATACATGTAATCAATGTCTTCAGAGATGTCTTTTTTTACTTGTGACGTATTGACTTTTGAAATTCTTTTCAAGATAGAGATAATTGGTCAATGATCCCTGCAACAACGAGGTTATCCTCAATCTTGATGCCTTCGGATTTGACCTCCTCAATGATCATTTGAAAGTTTTGAACTTGATCTATCACTGATTTACCTTCTAACGTTTGATATCGATAAAAGCGGCTAGCAATGTATTTCTTTGCATCAACTTCTTTAGGATCATATTTTTTCTGCGATGCTTTCCAAATTTTCTTGGGAGTGGAGTAAGTGGTATCATAGTGATCATAAAATTGATCCGCAAGACAATTCAAAAAATAATGCCGACAACTGTACTCACCTATGATATATTTATCCACTTTATCAAAATGGGCAGTATATCCATCGTCCGTCATGCCATGAGTAAAGACCTTTTTTGGATTCTTTTCAGTGAGGACATATTTATCCACTTTATCAAAATGGGCAGTATATTTTTTCACTTTATCAAAATTCTTTATCTTTTCATCTTTTAAAGTGAGCTCTCTTGAATCGAAATTCTTTATCTTTTCATCTTTTAAAGTGAGCTCTCTTGAATCGAAAAGTTTTGTTGAGATCTACAACATTCTCATTGGATTTACGATAGTTTGTTCCATTTGACGTTTAAATATCCTTATTATTAGTGAATATTACAAAAAAAATTACCAAAATAAAATATTAAAATTACGATAAATATGAAATTTCTGAAACAAACAGATAAAGTAGAAGAACAAAAAAAACTCTCTTTAAGGAGATTCAGCCTCCGCTTGGGAAGTGGATTGGCTTTTTGACTTTTTTGGCTATTTTAGTCTGGCGTTAAAAAGCCTAGTTTAGAAAGGACTTTTGACTTTTTTGACTTTTTCATGAGAAAAAGAATGTAATGATTATGGATTGAATGTGATGTTTTGTCTTATTAGGCTAAAAAGCCTATTTTGTTTTTTGTGACTATTTTAACCTAAAAAACCTCAAAACCAACTTGCCAAACGGATGCTAGGTTGGAAAAACTCCCAAATTTGCAACGCACCTTCTTATATAGCTTGTTCCCTCAAAGGTACAATTAAACTATTGTTCATGGTATGGCTCAAATCAGTTTTGTACAAATGATTCGTCGTTTGGGAAGTAGATTGATGTTTTGACTTTTTTGGCTATTTTGGCCTGGGTCTAAAAAACCTAGTTTGGGAAGAAAGAACTTTTGATTTTTTTGACTTTTTTTTGTAAAAGAAGGAATGCAATGATTATGGATGGGATGTGATGTTTGGTCTTATTAGGCTAAAAAATCTATTTTGTTTTTTGTGATTATTTTAACCAAAAAAGTTCCAAACCTCTCTGTCCCAAACGGAGACTTAGTGAGTCCAAAACTCCACCAAACGAAGAGCTCTTGCTTTGCTCAAAAACGTCAGTGTGTTTGATAGGTAATGAAAACAAACTTTTGGCAAAGAAATGAAATGGAAGAACAAGTTTTTCTAGTATGTTTACCGGGTATGCGTAATAGAGAGACATGATCCGATCTATATGTAGCTCTCACATCTTATTGTATTTATTATTATTTTTTTGTCTAGCAACTTTTTGCTTTGACTTTAGAGTCTTTATTTATCCATCTTATTAAACTCGATCCATTTACTTGTCCATTATATTTTCATTTTATAGCAACTTCATCGTTCACATGCTCATTTTTTTGCAACTTGCAGAGGCCCTCATGTAATAAACAATTGAATTCAAACTCTAAATATGCACAATTTCTACAAGTTGCCAAGTCTCTCTGGTAATAGACAATTGAAGTCAAACTCTAATGTTAAAATATCAAAGAGAAAGTGCAGCACTTCAAGCAATGCAGAATTATATCTATATATCGATATATATTGTCAACTTCGGGCAGGGTTGACATGAATAGGTGGCAATTCACATGGACAATTGGTTTAACTGTGGTTTAAACCCGTTTATTAAAAAGAGGCCAGAGAAAGTCCAGTTCTTATAATTTGTCCGAACTGGAACTCGAACTTGAACCGATCTTGCCAACATTCATTGCAATAGGATCATGTTATAAGAACTGTTTCAATCAATTATTATTTGAACTCGTATTATAAGAGTTGGATACTTTGATAAGATTGTCATTAAAAAATTTAAATTTTGAAATTCTTACCCTTTGTGTTAAATCTTGCACAAGCATTAAAACAAGATTACTAATACTGTTTTATGATTTGTTAGGACTGTTTCCTAATTTGTCCCATCAGTATGGCATTGTCACATATGAAAGACCCATTTCATTTTTCTTTTATTTTATTTTTCTCTTTTCCATTAGTATGTATCCATCACAATTGACACATTCAACAAAGAAATCAACAATGTTTACAAATAAAAGCATTTTGACAAAATAGCCAAGCCATGCATTTTCTCGAGTATTTAATGGGGGGAAAAAAGAGATGGAACAGAATCTTCCAAAGAAATGCAGGATAAGAGCGAGAAGACTCAAAAACTTCTTAAGCTACGGACTGTATCAAAGTTGTTCAAGAGGATGCACCACTTCGCAGAGCTTGAGACTTACTGGATTTGCTAGTTGCCAACTCAGACTCGGGCTGCAAAAGGAACATGAGCCAATAAGACGCAACAAATTCAAATGTACTTTCTATTCCTTCCTCATTCCACCCTCTATCCTCTAGTTTATATTTCTAAATTGATAAAATGATAATGGACCTACCTCTTTTTTAACAGGCTCTTCCTTCTCAGACAAGATCAACTCAATATGGCAGGGGGAAGACATGTAGGCTGCCAAGATAAGTAACACACTCCTGTTGATAATTAAAATATCGAAAATTAAATGTATAAACAATATAAAAAAAGAAGTCAAACATACGGTTGATTCTTCCATGGGCACGGTACGTGCGGCGTCTCTGCTTCTGTGCCTGGTTAACCTGAATGTGAGATATGTAAAGTGTATCCACATCCAAACCTTTCACCTGGTGAATGAATGAACAATCATGCAATCAGTAAAGACATTTGCAAGTTAAAAACTAGTAATTAAGAATGCATGCCACCAGCTGGGACAGCACCTCGGCATTACTCTCAGCATTTTTAAGCAAGTCGAGTATGAATCCAGCAGATTTGACAGGCCAACGTCCTTGTCCATTTGAATGTCTGTTCTTTGCCTGAGCAGTTCGTCCTACACCCCTACAAAAACGCGTGAAAGGTATGGCCTGCTTGTGAGCCAGAACATCTTCTAAATACCTCTTAGCCTTGGCCAAAGGCAGCTTCCTGATGGCATGTGCTGTCTCCCTCGTGTTCTATTGAGCCAATAAAAAGAAATAGCACTATGAATTTCATGTCAAAATTGGCAACACTAGTAAGGGTTGAACATCATAACAAGGTACACACTTGGCAATAACATAAAAGTGCTGACTTGATCTCAGAATAAAATAATAGTGCTGACGTGATCTCAGAAACAAAGTGACAACTACCTGTATTTCAAACAAGAACTAACATCATGATTGAAGAGTTGATGAGCATTTTTAGCTTTGTATCATGCAATCTTGGATGCTTCAATGTAGCATTTCTCAAGAAAAATTCAAAATGTTATTTTTAAGTATTTTCAATGTGCCCATAGTATTTGGCTATGAAGCACCGACATGTTCCCAGGGCTGGCATACAAGTGTCGGACACATGTTGGACACGGACAAGCTGTGGACACGTGTCTGACACTTTCTCAAATGTGTCCTCTTTTTTTTTTTTTAAATTTTTTCAGTTGGACACGCGGTAGACACACGATGACACTTTCTGGACACGGATCAAAAAACCAAGCTGTTGGAGAGAAAGTGGGAAAGAGATCAAGGGAGAGATTGATTGAACAAAAAAAGCCCTAATCTGTTCAAAAGAGATGAATCGAAGAAGCCCTAACCTGAGGTAATCTTCTTCGTCTTCTCTGCTCTGCTTCCTTCTCTTCGTCTTTCTCTATCCTTCATCTTCTCTGCTCGTCTTCTCCTCTGGTTCGTCTCTCTTCTCTTCTTCTGTTATCTCTTTTTGATTTCACGCTATTCTTTTCACTTCTCTCTTTTTCTCCTCCCGTTTCTCTCCCTTCCTTTTATTTCCTGATTTCATCTCTCTCTCTCTCCTCCATTTTTTTTATCTTTATTTTTATTAAACCTAAAATTCATAGAATAAATTATTTTTATTTAAAAAAAATCAATTTTTATTAAAAAAAATTTTAAGAAATATGTTTATTAATTTTATCATTATTATAATTGTATAGAAACAAATAAATTTTTTTTTAATTTTAGACATATAATAAATAAACAAAATTATATATATTAAACGTATCCCCAACGTGTCGTGTCCCCCATTTTTTGAGAATTAGCGTGTCTACATGTCTGTGTCCGTGTTCGTGCTCGTGCAACATAGGTATTCGGGCTCTAACTCTTGATCACAATGGTATTTTTAAAAATTAAGCAAATGACAGCAGTACCTACGTCAATTAAGTAACGGTTTAAAGAAGACTCAATAATTAAAATTTTGAATCTGCATCCACATAGCAGAGATACAGCACTTGCCAAACATACTTCTAACATACGGAAACTGAACACATAATGTTGCATCATTTACTGAACCTTCTGTCATTGACTTACTCAAGAGGTTCACCCAATAACAATGCAAATTGATTTCCCTGAAGTTTACGAGAGACTTGTCCACAAAAAGGCAACAGGCCCCTGCTTTTTTCATCAGGTTAAATGGTCACAAATTTTTTTCCAGACCAGTTTATCAATGGTGAGAATTTTCCCATGATCAAAGCATCATTGAGAGATTTTACTTCATCTAGATAATTGCAACTCCCCGTGCAACAAAAGATGCCCAGTCAGCCATGGTAACATCCAAATCTACTGCAATAAGAAAAATTATTCTCCAACCTCCCACATCCTCCACCATCTAATGTTCCTTGTACTAATTCCATAACTTTTAAATCTCTATCCAAAGACTTGTACAACAAGATATAGGCAAATCTAACAAGGGCCCATTCCCCCAAGCACACCTATGCTTCCACTGCCGCCATCAACCATCTCCAACATCTATCATGCTCACAAGCAAACCTCCACAACCACTCTCCCAAAACTGAATATACTGTTCCATCATTTACTGAACCTTCTGTCATTGACTACTCAAGAGGTTCACCCAATAACAATGCGAGTTGATTTCCCTGAAGTTTACGAGAGACCCATCCACAAAAAGGCAATGGACCCCTGCTTTTTTCATCAGGTTATACTATCTAAGAAAAAACAAAACCAATAATAATTGCCACATTTCAGGACTTCAAATTTTAACAATTGGCCTACATACACCTACCAGACATCAACATTGCAAAAACACAAATGTGCATCTAGAAAAGCGAGATTCACAACTATAACAAACTATAACATTAGTTTAGCTATAGATCAGATTCATAAGACTACACTAACGCTGTGTTTGATTGGAAAATTTCAGAAGGAATTTGGGAAAGAAAGAGAAAAGATAGGTGAAATGTGAATAAAATATCCTTATATTTCACCTAATAATACACACATTTTCCCTTTTCCTTTCCAAATCCCCAACCACACACAGCGTAACAGAACAATCCTCAAAACCCATAAAACATCATTCATTGAAAATAATGTACATAAGTGCAAACAATTAAGAACACATATATACGCACAAAAACTTAAGATAACAAATACCTTGAAATGGACTCTGAGATCTGAGCCCCTGGCTTTGCAGGCTGTAAAATAAAAGACAGGACAGGACACAATGAGACTCAATAAACAGTGACTCAAAACATTGAAAATGGCAACCCAAAAATCAATAAAAATCTGTAAATCAAAACGTAAGAGAAAGGAACAAGAAAAGTACTTACACTTGGTGGGATTGTCAGGCTCTTTTGAGTACTTCACCTGAACGATAAACAGAAAAAAAATAAATTGAAAATAAATAAATTAGAACTTCCCAGCAATGCTAAACAATCATATGCTTGTACTGCATATTACAGATCGAAAATCAGGAGATTGAGAGTGATATGAAAACCAAAAAAATTGAACTTTGAAGAAGGTAAAGAACAGTTGTTACCATAGCTGCTGCACCTGGGTCGAGAAGAGTATGAAGTGATTCACTTTGTGCTCTCGCACAAGAGAAAAAAAGAGGCCGTAGCTATGGGTTTTATATTGAGCGTAATGAAACCCTAATTTTTGGAGACGAGTTGTGGGGTCAATTTGGGCTGGGCTTTTTTTAAGGCCCATATGCAGCTCTCCTTAGTCCAGTCCTTCCAAGTTAGGCCTTGCTTCGGAATCTTCGGCCTTGTTTGGTTTGTATTTGAGAAACATGTTTTGAGATAAAAAGTACGAAAATTTGTTTGGTTTGATTTCTTTTCAAAAGATGTTTTGATAAATTATTTTGAGAGAGAGTTTTGGAAAAAGTGATTGATTTGATGTGTATGAGAGAGAGATTTGTTTGAAAAATTTGTAAACCAAACGAGTTTTGAAAAATTTTTTTGAGAAAATTTGTTTGGTTTGATTACTTTTGAAAGCTTATTTGTAGAGAATTTTTCTCAATTTTTTTTGAGAAACACAAACCAAACAAGGCCTTCATTTTTAATCAAAATATCATTATCAATTGTTAAATTAATTTATCTATTTTTTTTTTTTCAATTCTTTTCATTAAAAAAATTTATTCTCGAACACTCCTAATTAGAACATGATGCACGATGGAATGACTAAATATGTGATAACTGATAAAAAGATTTAGTTCATTTTGATTTAGTTAAAAAACTATCTCTCTTTTTATTGGATTCATATTTGATAAAATGGTTAAATCATAATTTAAATTTTTTTCATAAAAATTAATGAACAAATTCATGAATAATTGGAAATGCACAATCAACCTAAGAATTATTGGTTGAAGGAACTGATGAAAAACTAAGGCGGTTTGGTTTGGTTTTGAAATAAATTTTAAAATATAAGTTTTTTTTACAAAAAATTCAAAATTTTATTTGATTGTATATTTAAAATTTTATTTTGTTGTATATTTTTAAAATATTTTTATAGTTTGGGATGATTTGTTATTTTTTTGTAATTAAATAGCGGGGTGTAAAAAAAAAGTGATTGATTGATGTGTATGATGTGAAGTAATGCAAGATGAGAGAAAAAAAAAAGATTGACTAATGTATAAAATGTGAGAGAATGAGAGATGAGATAGAAAAAGTTATTAAAAATAATTTTGAGAAAATTGAAACAAATTTTGAGTTTTAAGCTCTCAAAAAATTGATTTGAAAACCAAACCAAACAAGCCCCAAATGTTTGTTTGGTTTAATTTTTCAAAAATTATTTGTAGCTGAATTTTGATTTATTTTTAGTAATTTTTTTGTATATTTTAATTATTATTTTTTATTTTTTAGATACATTAATCAAGATGCATCTGAAAAGTAAAAATAAATTACTTAAAATATTTTTAAAAATACTAAAAATAAATCAAAATTCAAACAAAAATTGTGTGCATTTTTTTAAAGATTTTTGTTTATTTTAGTGATTTTTTATTATATATTTTAATTATTTTTTTATTTTTTATATACATTTAATTTTTATATTTCTAAAAAAAAAAAAAGACTAAAATGTTTAAAAATAATTTATGAGAATTGTAATCAAATAAAGTCAACCATTAGATAAATTTGAATAATGTGAGTGCTTTGCTTAAAATATCAAAATTAACCTAAAATGAAGTTGTATTGTATCAAGGGAAAAAAATGAATTAAAAAAGTTATTTGACTAATATTTTACGACAATTAATTGAGGCTCTATTTACCTTAAATTAACATCCCACGATCTAATTCAGGTAAATTTTTTTATTAAATAGAAAAATAGTTTAAAAATAGTTTTATTTATTAATTTTTTAAATAAGCAAAATTGGACAATACATGTTCATAATTTTTAAAATTATGAGAAACAATCGTTATTTTAAATAAATTTTGTGAGGTGTTTGCAATTTATCATAAAACAGTGGATTGACAGCGACAAGTTCCTGTGTATCCGAGATCTCACAAAATCACAGCAGCTGACACTCTCTAGGATCCACCGGGAAAAGTATGTAAATCCGGCGGCTTACATTCCGTGCCATGAGATCTCAATCTTGTTTTCACTTTCGTTTTCAACAATATACCTTCCTTTTGTCTACTCTCACTCATCATCACGATCAAACACGCGCGCACACACACAAAGAGGGGGTTCACTACACACAGACATGTACATACATACATACAGAGAGAGAAACCCAGAGCTTTCTAGAGAGAGAAAATGAAGATGATCGGAAAAACAGTCCTCTCTCTCCTACTCATCCTCATCATCTTCATCACCTACTCCATTTACATCGGAACGGTTGATGTCAGATCACACTTCTTCCCGCTCTTACAATCTCTACCTAACTACACTACGCCCTGCCGCACCGAATCGCCGCTCAGGGTCTTCATGTACGATCTTCCCCGTCGATTCAACGTCGGGATGCTGAAACGCCGGAGATCCGACGAAACTCCGGTGACTTCCCGGACTCTGCCGCCGTGGCCGGCGAATTCGGGGCTGAAGAAGCAGCACAGCGTGGAGTATTGGATGATGGCTTCGTTGTTGTATGATGGTGAAGATGAGAGTCGAGAGGCGGTTAGGGTTTCGGATCCGGAATCGGCTGATGTGTTTTTCGTACCGTTTTTCTCTTCGTTGAGTTTCAATACTCACGGGCACAATATGACTGATCCGGATACCGAGATCGATAAGCAATTGCAGGTACTTCGTGTGTTCGATTATGTGTTGTTTCAGCTTCGATTGTTGTTTTGATTTGTTTTGGAAGCGTAATTATAGCTTTTCATTGAATTTTGGGGTCCAAAGGCTTTGGATTGGAGCATTAATTCAGTAAAGAACATTGGGAAAATTGCAAATCAGTGGAACTTTCACAAAATATTTACCAATTCATTGAAAGTTTGCAACTTTAATTATTAAAGTTGGTAAAGTTTACCAGTAATATGAAATTGTTTTTGAAAACATACACTGATTTGAAACTCTCCCAAGAACAATTCTCATGGCCTGTTTTTCCAAGTATCAATTTTGTTGCCTATTGATTTTGCTTGACCCTGATTATGTTTAGTGAAACTGTTTTTGTTTCCATTATTTCTTGGTATGAATTCAAATCAAAAGTTAGATCTTTCGTTGCCGTCGTGAGAATATGGAATATTTTTAAACTGTTCTGTTTGCTTGCGATTGAAGATGGCATAAAAAAGGTGGCACACTGGCACGATTTTTCTCAGCTAAATATTGTGGCCTTATTGGCTGATGAATTGGGTTTTGGAGTATACCTTTATTAGGAGCTCATAGGCTGAAAGTGTTTTTTCTTAATTAGGCTGCATGTGGCAGAATTGGATTTATTGGAGGTTATTTCATTGTTGGGTGAAAAAATTTATGCAACTGGGAATTACTGAATGAAATTTATGCAAATAGAATTTGTTTCTTGAAACAGACATATATGGCTTGGAGTCTTTGAAAGTAGTATTGTTATGAGAAAATTAAGCTCGGCCTTTTCTACTCGGTTTGAATTTTATGTGGGATGCTGCTGCCATCTGGAGATTTTTGAAGTGATTTACTATCAGGACTTGACTTTGTCACTCTTGCCCGTTTATTTCCAGTTGGCTACACCTAGTAGGAGGGTCAGATTGAATGATTCCTATTATGGCAATTAGATTTTTTTTTTCCCTTCCAATTTCAGTTACAGGATGTGCTCCTAGCCTTTGATTAGTTAGAAATGCAATGGTCGGTCGGATTTAGTGTTTTAAAGTGCCTAGTTAGATCAAAGAGGTAGCTAGTTTTCGGGGCGTAATTGCCTGATGCAGCCAGTCGTGATGAGCCTTTCTGTCGGATGAACTCATATAACGTAATCAGGTTTTAAACTTTTGAAAAACTTGTTCATTTCAAAAACTAGGGGTTTGTCAAGTTACTGTCTCTGCTTTTTATGTTGTTTGGCTTCTGTATCTTTTGCTATATAATTCACAACCTTAGCTTCACTGCAGTCTCTCCAATTATTAAACTTGATGTCTATGAAGCATGGACACGTCCCTGAGGCTTGCGTATGAGTGTCGGACACGTGTCAGACACGGACACGCGTCGGACACGCTGCGGACACGTGTCCGACACTCTCCCCTGCGTGTCCCCCTTTTTTTCAGAATTTTTCAAAGTCGGACACGAGGTTGGACACGCGAGGACAATTCAGACACGAAGGTGGGTGGATCGAAGAAGCCCTAGAACTGTTGGAGAGGAGAAAGAAAGAGAGCCAAAGCCAGAGACAGATCGAGGGGAGAGAGAGAGAGGGAGATAGGTCGAGGGAAGAGAGAGACAGATTGAGGACAGAGAGAACAAACCCTAACCTGTTCTTCTTCTCTTTTTTGCTTCTCTTTTTTGCTTCTCTGTTCTTCTGCCTTCGTCTTCGTCTTCGTCTTCCTCTTCCTCTGTCTTCGTCTTCCCTTCGCTTCATCTTCCTCTTCTTCTGTCTTCTATCTTCTATCTTCCTTCTTCCTTCGTCTCTCATTCTGTCTCCTTCTCTTTCTTCTCTTCTCTTTGTCTGATTTCATTTACCCTCTCTCCACTCCATCCTTTTCTTTTTATTCTCTTTTTTTATTTTATTTTATTTTATTTTATTATTTATATCCATGTTTTTATTCAAATTTATAAAATAAATTATTTTTATTTTAAAAAAAATCAATTTTATTAAAAAAAATTAGGTAATATATTTATTAATTTTATTATTATTGTAATTTATAAGAATTAATATTTTTTTTAATTTTAGATATAAAATAAATAAATACAATTATATATATTAAACGTGTCCCCAACGTGTCGTGTCCCCTATTTTTTGAAAATTTGCGCATTTACGTGTCGGTGTCGTGTCCCGTGTCCGTGTCCGTGCATCATAGCTTGATGTAAAATCAGATTCCTTGAATGTTATTTTAGAACCACTCTGGCTACCTTTTCACCACTATAATGCACCATGTGCCACTCCCTCTAGTCGCTGTTATATTGGGACTAAAAAAATCTATTCCTATATCATCCTTCTTCAACTGTTATCATTTTCAGAGCTGAATATGGGTGATTTTGATTTCAGGTTGACGTACTTAAGTTCTTGAGGCAATCCAATTACTGGCAGAGGTCTGCAGGCCGAGACCATGTAATTCCCATGCATCATCCAAATGCATTCAGATTTTTGCGAGAGCAGGTGAATGCATCTATTCTCATCGTTGCAGATTTTGGCCGTTACACTAGAATCATGTCAAATTTGAGCAAAGATGTGGTGGCTCCATATGTGCATGTTGTGGTTTCATTCACTAATGATGACCTTCCAGACCCATACGAGTCTCGTTATACCCTTCTTTTTTTCAGGGGGAGGACAGTGAGGAAAGATGTAAGTTTGGTTTTGAGAGTTGAACATCCTGTTGTGTAATTATCTTTTATTTGGAGCTAACACAAATCTCCCTTATTTTCTGGAATGTTTCAGGAAGGAATTGTTCGCGCTAAACTAGCAAAGATATTAGTTGGTTACAAGGATGTCCACTATGAACAAAGCTATGCTACAGGCGAAAGCATTAAAGGGGTATGATTTGATGTAATATAAATGATCTAAGAATGTTATATTTGTGTTCTCTGTTTTAAAAAGTGCAAACAGAACTATTTATCAAAAAAAAGAAAAAAGAAAAAAGAAAAAAAGTGCAAACAGAACTATAATATATTACCACAAGGACATTTAAATTGCGGCCTCTTCAAGACATTTTTCTAAACTTCAGCATGGAATTTTGACTGAATTATTTGATGGTGGGCCTTTATATAAGAGCATCTCCACTCAAACCTTCAAAATTTGTTATGTTAAATTTTTCTGAAGGCTTTAGGTGGCAAATTGGCATATGTCAATTTGGCATGGAAGGTCTCCACCCGATATGTCGAATCTATTATTCTATTATTTTTTAAATTTGAACTCTTTTATTTTACATAGAAGTCCTTTTATTTGAAAAAAAAAAAAAGGCAAGAAGTAGGAACATGTCAAAATTGGTATGAAAGGGTGATGCCAAATGCCACATCAGCTTTTGGCAACTGGGTGGAGTTGATACTTGATATCAAAATGTGACTGTTGGAGTGCCACATCAGATTTGAAGTATCGGGTGGAGGTGCTCTGACTCACTTTATTGTATTATGTTTCTGAGTTGTATGTTCAACGTCTCTAAAGTTTTTTTTCCTCTTTTGTTATATCAGTCCTCGGAAGGGATGCGTTTATCGAAGTTCTGTCTACATCCTGCAGGAGACACTCCTTCCTCGTGCCGCCTTTTTGATGCTATTGTGAGCCACTGCGTTCCTGTTATTGTGAGTGATAAAATTGAGCTCCCCTATGAGGATGAAATAGACTACACCCAATTCTCACTTTTCTTCTCTACCAAAGAAGCATTGGTACCCGGTTACATGGTTAAGCAGCTCCGGCAATTTCCAAAAGAAAGATGGCTGAAAATGTGGAGGCAGCTCAAAAAAATCTCCCACCACTTCCAATACCAGTATCCCCCCAAAAAAGATGATGCTGTGAATATGATATGGAGACAGGTAAAGCACAAAGTTCCTGCGGCCACACTTGCTGTACATAGAAGCCAGAGATTGAAAGTTCCAGATTGGTGGCGCCGAAGGAGATAGCTCAGAGCCTGCTTTTACTGATACTGTACATTCACAATCATTCATAGCGACAACCGTTGAAGGGAATGAATAACTAAAGGTAGTCGCAACCTTGACAGACATCTACACAATGAGTAGTGTTTGGTTGATCATTATTTCTCAATGAAAAAGAAAAAGAAAATAGTTTTATCTTGGGAAAAATTCTTTTGCATTGCCCAGAAGTAGACATTAGCTTGGCTGGGTTTCTTGTCCATGAACTTGGCGGTGCTTTTATCTTCAACCATGCAACAACGAGTTCTAATCATGTAATTTTGGAGTTAGGGTTCCATACCATCTGTGTGCAATGTGAAGTCGGTTAAAACTGGTTCTAGCGTTTGCTCAGGATGTTTTATACAATCAGCGAATACCCGAACCAATGTGCTAGGTTGTGGTATGCCGGTTTTTGCAGCCGATGGTTATTCTTGTAAATATTACAGCGATTGTTGCAGCTCTTGAATGAGATCATGTTATGTAAGTTCTGACAGAAATTTATGCCAAGTTTTTCTTTTTTTTTTTCCTACTCTGTGTGTTAACTACTTGCATGCTTTGTTTCTATTTGTTATTTACCAATTTGAGCAGTGATGTAGATTAAGGGAAGGATTAGGAAATGCTTTTCCTATGGTGCTGCTGTGGATTGAAAGAGGTTGAAACCGTGGAAAGAAAAAAAAAATAATAATGGAACTTTTTCAGTGCTGGCTGTGAGTTTTTGGGGACTAGCACTGAGGTCTAGTTTGGCATTTTCAAAACAATTCAAAAAGTCATAAAGTTATAAAAAAAAAAGTTAAAAAGTTATCACTATTTATCAAAAAAAATAAATTAATTTTATACAAAAAATAATAAAACTCGTTTTACATCCCAAAGGTGAAGCTAATTTTTAGAAAAAATTGTACAGCCATATTGCACAAAAGCACGTTGCTGTTCCGCCAGTGAGGGGTCATCACGGGTCCTGTTTTGATAATCTGAACTGTTTAATGTGTAGAACTCGTCGAGTACTATATGTCTATAAAAAATCACGTTAATCGGATAACTATATGATCAAATCAGTTTTGTATAAAAACAAATAGATGGTGTTATAGGTAACAGTTGAAAAAAAATTAATCCGATCAGATAGTTATCGATATCCGATCAACATAATTTTTTATAAGTATATAATACTCGACCAGTTTTATACATTGAACGGTTTCGATTTGCAAAAAGGGACCTGTGGTGGGTCCCCACGGGCCGAACATTATAGTCCAATATAAAAACAAATAGATGGTGTTATAGGTAACAGTTGAAAAAAAATTAATCCGATCAGATAGTTATCGATATCCGATCAACATAATTTTTTATAAGTATATAATACTCGACCAGTTTTATACATTGAACGGTTTCGATTTGCAAAAAGGGACCCGTGGTGGGTCCCCACGGGCCGAACATTATAGTCTAATGCAATGCCTGCAAATGAGGCAACTATTTCTTATGTCAAATGCCTCTGCCCAAGACGTTTGGCCGTACTGCTACTCTCCCTACCTTCTCCTACATACTAATTTATACAATTTTTTAATATATATTTTTTCGTTAAAAGGGCCCCCACGGGCCGAACATTATAGTCCAATGCAATGCCTGCAAATGAGGCAACTATTTCTTATGTCAAATGCCTCTGCCCAAGACGTTTGGCCGTACTGCTACTCTCCCTACCTTCTCCTACATACTAATTTATACAATTTTTTAATATATATTTTTTCGTTAAAAGTCAAAAAGTTAACTTAAACAATTATATTTTTTTCCTCAACTTTTTAGTCTAAAAATACAAAAAATATACTTATTTAGGACACCTGAAACAACCCTCTAGGGCCTTTAAAAGAATGATACTTACAAAGAGTTTACTAAAATTTACTTAAATATATGACAAACTTTAAAAAAACCAACCCATAGGTCTTAAAAAAAGTCAAAAAATCCTTCACAAACCAAGCTTTTTAGCTCAGGCTAAAATAATAAAAAAAGTCAAAAAGTCAACCCACTTCCTAAACGGAGACTAAGAAATCGAACAAAAAGTAACAGTATCACTTAAAATATATTTTCTAAGAATCATGATTGGTCTGTTTGATAGAATTTACCAAAAATTATTATCATCATCATAATGTTAACAGTTGACTTTGATTTTTCTGTTTGATAGAATTTACCAAAAATTATCTCAATATAATAGTTCTCTATTAATTTCAAAAAAATTAGATGAATAGTTCCATAAAATCAATAAATATATAAAAATAGAGAGGAAAAGAAAATACCTTCACTGTTTGTGATAGATGAAAGTTGAGAAAAGATCAATAATGTTAAGCCTCCAACTTATGTTGAGTTAAGCCTCCAACTTTTCCTTCTCTGGACTTAATTAATCTTTGGGGGACTTTGTGGCTTGCGTTCCTCCAGGGCTTAGAGCAAAATCTTTGTTCTGATTGCTAGGCAAGGAGCAACAAATGAAAAATTTTTAAAAATAGAGAGGAAAAGAAAATACCTTCACTGTTTGTGATAGATGAAAGTTGAGAAAAGATCAATAATGTTAAGCCTCCAACTTATGTTGAGTTAAGCCTCCAACTTTTCCTTCTCTGGACTTCAATTAATCTTTGGGGGGACTTTGTGGCTTGCGTTCCTCCAGGACTTAGAGCAAAATCTTTGTTCTGATTGCTAGGCAAGGAGCAACAAATGAAAAATTTTATTTCCACTCACCTACTTACTCTCCACTGGCAAGCCATGGAAGCCAAGTGATTGAACACAACCTCCATTGAAATTCCACATCTTTGTTACTTGTAAAAATAGATTAAAATTAGTTGCCATTTATACGAGCATTAAAGCCTGTTATTGATTGTCATTGATATATGTATGTTTTTTTTGTTTTTTTTGGTGGGGATTGAAAGTCACGTGATTTAAAAAATGGATTACATGTTGAAACAATTTTGTTAATTTGGTAAAGGCGGTGTTAGTCAGAAAAAAAACTAGGCCGCAGTTAGTGGCAAACAAAAACTTGCACCTTCCGTTGACATCATCTGCAACACTCAACAATTTGGAAGTCTTAATTTATGGAGCTTTGTTGAAATTTATCCTTCAGCTTGAGTGGCATCTTCTCTTGTTGCTATCACTGGGACAAGCTCCTATCTCTCCGTCAATCTTTCCACGCCGAACCAGATGTCGAAGCTCATGATCATCCCAATGCCTCTCCCTCCAAGCCTAATTCTACTCACATCGTAATCTTCATCATCTTCTTCTTCTTTGTTAATTGATTATTGGACCAACGAGATCATCAGATGTTAGATATGAATGTTTGAACATCATGTAGGAGATCAACCCAAATTGAGTTGGCAGCTACATGGAAGGGTGGCCAACCCACATGGTAAAAGGAAGGCAAAAGAGGTTGGCATGAGTTGGCAAGCCATGAGGCTTGCCATGCGCCAGTAACAAAGGAGAAAGCATGGAGTTGGCCATGTGAAGTCTTCACATGGTGGGACAAAGCTTTCAACTGGACAGCAGCTCAAAGGAGAATATTGGGCTGGCAGCCAACACACCCATGAGGCCTCCTCCACCTTCTGTTTTGGTGTATAAAATGGAATGGTGATGGTGAGTTGAATACAGTGAGAGAGTGTGTTATATAGAGAGACAGTGAGTTGAGAGTGTGTAATCTCCTCCATTTGTTGATATATAACAACATCGCTCCCGTGGACGTAGGCCGGTTTGCCGAACCACGTTAAAAGTCTTGTGTTTTTTGCTTGTGAGTGTCCCCTGGTGTGCCCACGATCCGCAACAATTGGTATCAGAGCCCGGGTGGAGAAAAATCGAGTTTTTTCCGAAAGTGTCCAGATTTCGAAGTGGTCGAAATCCACTTTTGAGCATACCAGGAGGAAGGTCAGGAGGAGAGGAGTCCAAAACTTCAAACCACAGGCCAATCGGAGCTCTAACGCGCCGCCACGCGCCACCTGAATATCGAGAGTGAAGGCCACTCTCACCCACGCGCCCCACGCGCCGACGAAGGAAGAAGACGAGTGGGGGCGCGCGTGAAGCTGACGTCAGGCTGACGTCATCCTGAGCCGAGCCGAGCCGTCGAGCCGTTGACCGCGCCGCTGACCAGGCCGAGCCGCGCCGGAGCCGCGCCGCCAGCCAAGCCGCGCCGCTGAGCCGCCGTTGACCGCGCCCCTGCGCCGTTGACCGAGCCGCTGACTGCGCCGTTGACCAGCCGATCCGGAGGAATTATCTGGTGCTTCTCAGGCGCACCAGATTCAGCAAATCTGAACCGTTGAAACTGTTTTGGCTAGATCTAGGCCATTCGGAGTCCGTTTTTTGGCGATCCAATAGTGCGTTCCAACTATTTGAAATATTCCGGACCCATCCGTACGGTCAGATTCTTAAATCGGAATTTCTTTAAAAAGGGAAGAAATTTACAATGGCAGGAAAAGGCGCAAGTTTCATGATTGAGCCTTTTAATGGTAGTAATGACTTTACCCTGTGGCAGCAAAGGGTGAAAAACATTTTAACACGAGAAGGTCTGGTGAAAGCTCTTCTCAAAAAGTCCAACAAACCGGAAGACATGAAGGATGACAAGTGGGAGGAGTTGAGGGAATTGGCAAACAGTACAATTCAGTTGTATCTCGGGAACAACACACTCCGGGAAGTCATCAGTGAAGTAGATCCGGCGGAGCTATGGGCAAAGTTAGAGATGAGGTACAAGTTAAAGTCTTTGACAAACCGGTTATCTCTGAAGAGGTAGCTATATACACTTATAATGCCAGAAGGTGCGAACCTCACAGAACATCTGGACGAGTTCAATAGGATCACAATGGAATTGGACACCATTGGAGACAAGACCCAGGAGGAAGATAGGGCTATGATCTTGTTGGTCTCTCTACCTGCATCATATGAGCATCTCAGGACAACTCTATTGTACGGGAAGGATGCTCTTGGACTGGATGCTCTTGGACTGGATGAGGTGATTGCTACGCTCATTTCTCATGAGTCGATGAAGAAACAGGAAGGTAGCAGTAGCAAACACCCAGAAGGAAATGCCATGGTTGCCTCAGAAAATGAGCAAGGCAGAGGTAGGTCCAATGATAGACGGGGTAGATCCAAATCAAGAGGACGTTCGCAATCAAGGTCAGGCTTCAGGAGAAAGTGTTATTACTGTGATCAGGAGGATCACCTCATAAAAGACTGTGCAAAGCTCAAGGAGGACAAGGCACACAAGGAACAGGCGAGCTCATCAAATGTCGCTGCTGCTGTAAATGCTAAGGATGAGTATGCATTTACAGTTTCGTCGAGTATGACGAAACCTGACTGGATCTTAGATTCCGGAAGCACATATCATATATGCATGGATAAGAAACTTTTTTCTACCTACCAAGCCAAGGATGGAGGTATTGTTCGAGTGGCTAACAACACTGTGAGTAAGATTGTTGGCATGGGAACAGTACGGCTGAGAATGGAAGATGGAAAAATTTTCACGTTGGATGGAGTCCGACACGTGCCAAGACTGAAGAAGAATCTAATTTCCTTAAG